CCTCAACTGCTTGATAGCAGTGTTGTGAACTCAGATTTTATGCATATGGTGGTTTGTTCTTTATATTATGACTGTTTTGCTAAATTTTGATTTAAAAAAACTCGTAACCCGTTTATCGCAATATGTATCATATCACCAAGTAATTTTCACAATCTATGGTTAAACCAAACCAGAATGCGCTGACACATCAAAAAGTGATAGCAGTAAGTGATTAATTTTTACATTTTGGTACCATTAGTTCATCCACTTGTAAGTTCCTTTTTCATTTTATTTAGATTTTCAAAATATATTTTCCCACATTATATGCATTTTACACATCCACAAACAGTACTCAGCTGGGGCAAAACCACAAGTCAGAGTCCTAAATGCATAAAAGAAGCAAAGGCACATACTCAGATAAGATAAAATGCATTGGTAGAAAATGCTGGTGGGAATATTCTATCAGTATGTACTTGAGAGCTTGTAAAATTCTACATGTATTTCTGCAGTCTTGTGTTGGATGTGAACACCATCTACCCTCTGTACCGTGAATATATTGACTGCTCACATCACTCCTTAAATTCTCTAATAAAAATAAGGTGGCTGGTTTGGAATAAGGTGATTCAGCCACAAAACAAAACAGGAAATAGCAAGCCAAATCCACGCAGTGTGGGCTGACAGAGACAGAGAGACAAAGTCAGAGACAGAAAATACTGTGAGGCAAGGAAGCCTCATTTTCACTCACACCCCTTCCTCCCTCCCTCCCACCTCTGCCCCTCTCCTCCCCTAAATCCAGCAGCATGCGGGGGGAAAACAAATAGAGTCCATCCCGTCGCAGCAGCACCCGGAGGACTTGGAGGTGCCTTTTGGAAAGTGATCCCAGCCCACTGCTGCGGCCTCAAGTGTTGTCACGCTGAGTTAGTGCCAAATTGCTTTGCAGCAACACCCCATCCCCCCATCCCTCCACCAACCTGCCAGCAACAAACAAGACATATACTGTAAATGTAAACTTTCTTTAAAGATGTGCATGTGTACAAATATAGACCTTTTTTTTACTGTGGTTTATAGGAAAACAAATCTTTGCAGGGACTACAGTAAATGGTGAAAGAATTGATTTAATTAATGCAGCAGCGTGTCCTGCGGCCACATGTAATCCGTTGAGAATTCTCTAGCGGGAGCTTTCAAGGGGGGCAGCCAGGGGGGAATACAAAAGATATTCTCCCTGAGACTCTTCCAGTGGCCTGTAATGGGAACCTCACACTAATCCCATAATTCCTTGTTTAATTAAACTACAGAGCCAACCATGTAGTTGTCTAAACCAGTTTGATGGGCCTTTTCTTTCTTACTTCACCAGCACATGATGAACAACATGAACGATCAATAAATATGGGTAATTATCCACTCTCCACAGTCAGTACCCTGAATTCACTGCCACACAATACACTCATATGACAAATGTTTACATCAAAAATATCCCTCTTTACTGTCCAGTCAGATTTTAAACACCTTTTTTACATTAAAAGCTAGCTGTGAGATGGATCTAAGATCCGGCTCTCAGTCTGTCAGACTGTGAATTATACACTTACTGTGTCAACAGAAATAACACATCATGCTAACAGAGACATGTCATGAACTCACACCAGCCAACAGTGCTGCTCTCATGTTCTACATTGCATCAACAGCCATACAGCTGACATTTACATGTGCCATGCTTTTTCATTTCACCACCAACTGTTTGGTATATGATATTTTTCTGTTGTCACATTGGTGAATTTTGTGTTCTTTCATGCCATGCTGAAAAGGTTTAAGACATGGGTAACACTGTGGGATTTTGGTCTTAAATTTGTGAGACTAAATTTGGACGTAGGTTATTTTTGGTCTCCAAGGCTTAAAATTGGCCATTGCTTTGTGTTAACATGATTGCACCTGATGGTTTGGCGAGTCGTTGCTGGAAACAGTTTGGAAAAGGGCAGGCACTGTCCAAAAATACAGCAAAACATATTTTCCGTGGAAAAAATACCTTCAGTGCCGTTTTGATAGAACTTGAGAATATTACATGTTTATTTGTATTTCACGTGACAAGCAGAGTTGTAGCAGTTTAGATTTAAATGCACAAATTTCTATTTTATGTTTATTACACATCACCTTTAAACTAGATACATTTTGACAAATTTGGAACTGTTGCCATCCTGTTAATACATTAGCTTTTGAGCAACAATTAAATTTGCTTGTGGGTGGTTACAGGTCGATTCATTTTTGTTTAATTTTGAGATAATCCACATCGGCCGATGCCTGCACTCACAAGGCCGATAAAAGGCCAAAAAATGCCTGGTCAGTGTGTTTGTTGTGGAATAATGTTAGTGCACCCCATTGTGAGTTTTGGGAAGGTGGTGAGTTAGTTAGTTTGGAGCCCTGTATTATAACTCTCATGCGTCCGTTTCCTCAGTCTCCATTGTCTTTTCTAAATGCTAAGACATATTTTATTCCATACATGACTTTCTTTTGTTTTATAAAGACATTATATATCTGCCATAGAAACATTTTGCTTGATTTAAAGGAATATGTTACCAAAATAATAACAATCTTGAAATAAATAATGTGAGTACAAACATTTTCTAGACCGAGATTCCTCTGTGTTATTTCATACAGTAACCCAACACAGTGAATGGTGACCATAAATAGTCAGGTTTATTGTGTTTAGATTTTAGCTTTCTTTTATATGTTGTGGAAGTTTAGTGGAAGAACATCATGAAGCATTATATCTCATTATGACTGCTGTCCAATTTGGTAAACAGTAGGCTGCCTCATTTAAAACAGATATCTGCATCCATCAGATAATCTTCCACGGCTCCTTCTGAACAGCAGCATAGACACATTGTGTGTGAGTGAAATCAGCTGCACAATAAATATTTTGGGACTATTTTCAGCCTGCCAGTGTGTTTGTCTGGGCTGCCCCAAGGCCCACAGTGAAAGAATGGTGCTACACACATCACCAAGGTGGTCTGGAGAGATTAGCACCCCTCATTCCACTCCAGCTCTCAGTACCGTGCCCTGCGGGATGCTGGGATAGGCAGGTTTTGATATAGAATTGTACTTACCAAGCACAAGAAAATTGTTTTGTCATATAAATAACCATACAGAGAAATCATTGGAGGCTGTGCTATTTGAGGCATCATTTATCCCTCACTCCTCTGCCTCCCTCTGTATTTGTAGGAAGTTTTGAACATGCCTTTTGCTGTGTTAAGTCTTCATCATCGCCATATGATGTGACTCGAACCACTGAATTTTAAATCATAGACACTAAAACCACAACGGGACATATACACATATGATACAGATGTTGTGGGATCCTACTGAACAGCTCTCAGAATCAGCATGGTCCCTGGTCAAGGTCACCTGTATTCACCCATTGTGGCCTGGCTTAGATTCTAGAGAGGGGGGGTAAGGATTGATGGATTTGAATAGCATATTTCTTAGACAGACACCTTATTCCCCTGATTAGCAATTGTGTCCTACCCTGTTTGCTCTGTTGCCATGTTTGATTGATAAGAAGGTCTGTGATATGGTTACAAACTCTGCACATTGAGTTGCGATTCCTTTGCCAACTGCTGTTTCCTAAGCCAACAATTAATTGTTAAGCTGATCATAAAAGTTAACAAGTCTCCCTACCAGAAGGCGGAGTACAGATTACGTACATTATTTAGTACATAATGTCGACATTCTGTCGACAATGTAGTGAAGATGTTGCTGTCAAAATGCACAAAGAAAAGAAAAACTGATCAAGAAAATAGAGTATTGAAGGAGGAGTGGACAGACATTTAAGTGTTTATTTTGCACGAGGTTCAAACAACTGAGGAAAACAATGCCATGTCTCCCTCTTGGCTCAGATGTATTTTTCTATCCTGACAAGGTTCAAGGTTACTTTGTTTGTTCCAATAGGTAGATTTGGTTTGCAGTAAAAGGCATTCCTCTTGACAAAAATATAAAAACAACAACTTAGACAATAGACAGACATTACACAAACATGATAAATAATATACAATAAAGGATAAAGATAAAAGATAAAAGTGAGTTACAAAAAGAGGTAAATAAAAAAAAACACTAGAATAAATACCCACTAGAATAAATGCAGGTAAAACAAGTTACATGTGTCATGTTAGTAGAAGTTGTTCATCTGAATGATCGCTGCTGGAACAAAGCTATTTTTCTTTTTTACCATTTTGGGAATATAAACCTCCGTCCAGAAGGAACAAGCTGAAATTCACTGTGCAAAGGATGGGAGTCATCATTTAAAATGGAGCTGGTTATCCACTGTAACTGTCTGGTGTACAGGGATTCTGGGTTAAGCTGCGTGACTCACCAATAAGCCTTACATCAACCTTACACTATACCATTTAACAATTCGACTGAGGTAGTTTCTGTTCTTCAGAGAGGTTTCCAAACCATGACACCAAAGAAAAAGGTGCAATTGATTCAATAAATGCACGATAAAACAAGGTCAGCATGTTTTTTTTAACGTGGAAATTGGACAGTCTTGAATGTATGTTGCTTAAAAGTTATATGTTTTGTTTTGTTGTTCAATTGTTCTAGACCTTGAATAAAAATCAGATGTGGACCTTTGAGTAATATGTTTGAGAACGCCTGCTGTAGATGTTTGGGTATTTGTGTGTTGACAGGTTCAATGAATTTTAATAAATTTTGGTCAAATATGAAATGATGTTTCAGATTACTCCCAGTTTATAATCCTCAACAACCACTGGTCATTGCTAAATTTAACTTTACAATTTTATGTTACTTGAGCCAATAACAAATCGATTTAATACACAGTCTTACTTTGCAGCAGTAAATAGCAACTGCCTGCTACTGTAATTAGAAATTATTTGTGAATTATTATTATTTTGATTGAAGAGACTATAGACAATTGATTGAAAGTCATTTAGAAGAACAGACTTAAAATAAAATAAAATAATGGGTGTAGTATAGTGCTGGTAGTAATGTATCCCCTCTATGTGTTTGTCCAGGCAGTCGGATGGATGAAGTGTCAGATGTGGAGTCAGAGCCTGACCTCCCCCTGAAGAGGAAGCAGCGCAGGAGTCGGACTACATTCACAGCAGAGCAGCTGGAGGAGCTGGAGAAGGCTTTCGAAAGAACCCACTACCCTGACATCTACACCAGGGAGGAGCTGGCCCAGAGAACCAAACTCACTGAGGCCAGGGTCCAGGTAATAAACTGTCCATGATCCATTTATCTGTCCATCCATCCATCCGTCCATTTATTCGTCTATCCATCCATAATCCAACCATCCATCATCCATCTATCTGTCCATCCGTTTATCTATCTTTCCATATCCATCCATCCATCCATCCATGCTCTCTCTCTTGGTAATTATCCAAACCACACACAAAGAAGCATTTGCATATTTTCTGCTTGTTAAATAGGAATTTAGGCCATGTTCAGACCAACATTAGCACTAGCCCCCTCATTCACTCAACATGACTCAGTTTCATGTTTGTAAGTTTGTTCCTACACAACTGCAACGTCATCCAACATTGGTAAACAAATGTGGGCACATTCTCTGTAGATTACTTTGTAAATAAAAACTGCATATTTCCACTGTTTACCTCAGACGAGAGGAGATAACTTTCCAGCGTTGAACAATTCTGTGTCATAGTATTATAAACCTCTGTGCAGTGTTTGGGCTTCTGATAAACCTTCAAACTTGTGAATGTGTCACTCAAACTTAACTTCATATCTGCAAGCAAGAACACAGCCTGACCTCAATCAGTCCCAACTGTAAATGGACAGAGTTGGGGCAGGAGGGGAACGCCACCTGCAATAAATGTTTGGACCATGCTATGTTACAAAATGGCATATGGGCCATAATGCCCCTTCTAAAAAACTACCCAAATGGCCAGTTTGGCATTGCCTGTTGCGTATTTCCTCATTAAATTACATGCGACACAGAAAATAAACAAAGCCATATTTTCCAGTGTCACACTGGACATCAGCAGTAGCTGATGATTTTTCCCACTCACACAAATATATTTGTAACCAGAGACTGATTAGAAAGTGTGAGCATCTTTTGGGAAATGTTAACAGAGGGGTAGTTTTGTGACCACAGCCATAAGTGTGTAGATCAGGTTACAGTATAATAGTTACTCTGTGCTGTGTTTGCTGTGACAGAAAATAACAAAAAAGTTTATGTAACGTTACTTTGTACTCTTCACAGGAGACTGTGAAAAGCTAATGCTAGCTAGAATTAGTTAGAGCTACGAGTCAAGCTAAAGAAAACTAAAATAGCCTAAAACTGGAGGTTTCCTAAATACGTTTCATGGTGGGAGGCCGTGCGTCAAATGCAATAACTGAACGTGTTTTCTCTTTGGAGTTTTTTCTGCAACAGCGAAAAAAAAAAAAAAAAGAAGAGAAAATGCTATGACTGTTAACTAGCTAATGCACAACACACTCAGGTTACCCACAAGCCAACCTTTCTTAAAGGGGGAGGATCGGCCGGTAACACACAGGTGCAGTTAAATTCAATTCAGTTCAATTCAGCTTTATTTGTATAGTGCCAATTTGCAACAAAATCTTAGGACACTTTTCAAAAAGAGCAGGTCTAGACCGTAAAATGATTTACAGAGACCCAACAGTTCCCACTATTCAGGTCCATTAAGTAAAAGTACAAATACCAACCCCACTGTGAAAATACTGCAGTACAATTACTGCATTCTAAACCTTACTTAGGTCAAAAGTATGCAAGTATTATAACACCATTTACTGACAGAAGTCATAGTGTAGTAAAACGGTCCCTGGCAGCTGCATTAATGTTGCATTTTGCATGTAATATGCTGCCTGAGTTTGTGGATGAACATCTTGATAGGGATCTGAAAACTGTGAATGCCCACAGTTAAAGGGTTAGTTCACAGAAAATCAAAAAACAAATACACCAAAAAACATAATCCCCATTAACTTAATACACAGAACAAGAAGGTTTTTAATGAAACAACTCTCTATCAAACACCCTATCACTTAATTTGTGTTAGGTCCTCTGCCCTGTCAGATTTCTTTGTTTCTTTCAGTTGCCATTTGGACATTTCTATGCTGCTCATAAGTAAACAGTCACATGGTTACCTCTTCCTCTTTAATTTCAGGTGTTAAGCAATTAGGGGTTACACTGATTTTCCATTGATTTTCTGTTCTGATAAACATACACCCAACAGTTCTTCTCTAGCTGCTTCCTCAACATTCATTTTTGTACAAGATGTCACATTATTGTGATACTTTACAGATCAAATTCCATATTTACCTACTGAGTCCAACTTATATTCACACATATATACTGTATAATGCTGGAGACTGTGCCAGCTGTCTATATCTCAGCTGAGGAACCTGTCTTTGGTGTGTGTTTGGTTTTGACAGCTCCTCATTCAGTGTCCCAGTTGTGCTGGAGAAAAGACTGTAGAGTTCTAACAACAGCTGTAAGGTGTTCAGTAATGGGGTGGGGGCTGCATTCCTCATGCATGTCTCACTCCCCAACATCTTGGCTAGAATCTGTTTTTCCCACCACTTTCAAGCCCACCACTCATTGTAAGATTCACAGCAGACCACAGAAGGGTCTGAGCTGTCTCAGGGGAGCGTTAAGCCACAACAGCAACGTGGATCAATCACCCAAGAAGACTGAGAGAGTGAGAAACCAGTCCACATTGCAGACCTCAGAATTATCTATGTACCTCTACTTTGTGGTTGGTTAAATACTAAAAAAGGTTACAGTACAGTAAGTACATTAATGCAATATATCTGTCTATATATCTATCTATATCTCCGTGTGTTCCTGGTGGTCCTTGTGGTCCGTATAGTCTGCACCAGTTGCTCAGTGTCCTGTCGTATTGTCCTGCTCTGGACTAACAAACTGCAAAAAATCTATATTGCTATTTTTTATTTACAGATAAAGGGGAAAATTAACCTTTGCTTTAGCTTTCGCTAAGATTAGCTGCAGCTATGTCAGAGAGTGCAGAGTAGGGATTGAACAATATACCATATTAAGTATGGTGATAAAAAAACAAAATACATTTATTATGGTGAATATACGGTGAATTTCCATAATTGTGATAATTGTGCATATTCTCACATGGCTTAACTTAAAAAAACTGTCTAGCTTTCCAGCATACAGTCCTATATTGATTTCCTAATTTATTTTGAACAAAGGGACAAGGGGGAGCCCGCATCTTTCCTGTCACCATGGCTGAAGGCTTGGCTCGGCTCGAAGGTAGAGCAGGTTGTCCACTAATCAGAAGGTTGTTGGTTCGATCCCTGGCCCCTTCCTGCTGCATGGTACTGAGACTGCATGGTACTGAACCCGATGCTGTGTCATCGGTGTGTGTGTGTGCATGAATGAGTTAGTTTTTGTTCGATGCCTGCTGTTTGCCATCACTGTGTGAATGCCTGACGTGGTGTAAAAGTGCTATGAACTGTCAGAAGACTAGAAAAACAGTTAAACAGGATGTGTGGAAATAGTATAGATTCTAATATAAAAAACAGGGAGATGAGGTGCCTGTGATACAAAATGTAAGTTAAAGTGATTCCAGTATGTTTTAGTGCCATTTTGAAAATGTGAAGTATGTTTTCATGATTATCCTGGTAATATCATGTTTGAATCAGAAAAAAGCTTATAACTAAACTATTAACAAATATGGAATTAGTTTGTTTTGCCTTTGTAGGGCAGCATAGTTCCATGGCAACCGAGCAAATAATGACCTGTGCTATAAAAAAAATCTCACTCTGCAAGATAGCTCTAATAAATTCTTAAAAAACTTCACAGGCAATGAATGTAGCAAGCAGAGACATGTCAACTTGCATCATCCATCTGCAGCAGTCTCATGTTTCTACAATGCAACAAAACAATAAACATGCGTTGACCACAGTGCTGGTAGTACTTCTATTCATCAGAAATCATCAAAGGGGGAGATAGAGAGTGTGGACCTGGTGGTGGGCAGGGAAAAAAGGGCAACATGGAATTCTGAATTTGTGTGTAGTTTATAGAGTTAAACTGATGTCAAATCTCTTCATGACCCCCTTATGTGTCTGTTCTGTTGGACTTTTACTGCTGTGAAATTCAATCAGGTTATCCAGCTTTTACTGCTTATCCTGAACATCACACACACACACACACACACACACACACACACACCTAAACAAACACACACACAGAATCTCACAGTCTACTGCACAAACATTTGTTGGATAAACACATACAGACAGAGACACAAAGTTCCTTCAGTGATTCTAGAGCATATAAATTATTTACAGAGACCCAACAGTTCACAGGCGGTAAACAACAGAAGGACAGAGACAGGTGCACAGCAACAACAGTAGCAACAACTACACTAATAGTAGTGACTGATGATGATGATGAACATGAAGAAGATGATGACGATGACGACAACAACGATGGGGAACAATGAGCAGTGATTATAATAATGATAGTATCTGTAGTAATAATAATAGTAATGATAATATCAGTAATATTAGCAATGGGAGTCAATGGGAATCAAGCAGGACCATGGTAGGAGGCTCCACCAGGATCCATGAGAACCTGCAAGACAAGAAAGCACAAGAACTCCGGGGGAAGAAGTGAAGTTAGTAACATGCATTAATGGGACATGAATGTATGCAGAAAGAGAGAGGATGAGAGGAGCTTGGTGCATCATCGGAAATCCCCTGATAGTCTAGGCCTATAGCAGCATAACTAAGGGATGGTTCAGGACTCACCTGATCCAGCCCTAACTATAAGCTTTATTAAAGGTAAACGTCTTACGCCTACTCTTAAATATGGAGAGGGTGTCTGCCTTCCAAACCAAAACTGGAAGCTGGTTCCACAGGAGAGGAGCTTGGTAGCTGAAGGCTCTGGCTCCTGTTTTACTTTTAGAGACTATAGGAACCACAAGTAGCCCTGCATTCAGAGAGTGCAGTGTTCTAGTGGGGTAATAGGGTACTATGAGCTCTTTAAGATATGAAGGGGCCTGACCATGGAGAGCTTTCTAAGTGGGGAGGAGGATTTTAAATTCTATTCTGAATTTTACAGGCAGCCAGTGCAGAGAAGCTAATAAAGGAGAGATATGATCTCTTTTCCTAGTTCCTGTCAGTACTCATGCTGCACCGTTCTTCGTAAGGAATTGCAGTAATCCAGACTAGAAGTAACAAATGCATGGATTAGTTTTTCTGCAT